CTCAGACCCTCAGTCTGGGTCGCTCCATCCCGAGAAAGATCGTGTCCTGTCTTTTCTCCACATTGGCATCATGGACGAACCACGGGAACATCACATTTGGTAGCGGAGGATGGTTACGTTACAGTTATCCATCAGTAATTCAGGGATGGCTTGGCCAAGAAAATTCAGGCAAAGTGGGGCAGAAAAGTTACCTAGTGGTCCCTTTCTTAAAGTACTAACATACCCCTAACAACCAGAGGAACAAACCAAACGAGATGGGCGACAAGCAAATCTAAGGAAGAATTAAAAGAAATAAAACCAATATCAAATGGGAGTCGCATGGAAAAGCCACCCTGAGCTGCACCAACGGAAGATTTTTTAAATGCAATGAATTAAATTCGATAAAATAAAATTCAAATAGGATTTTTTTAAAAAAATGTTCAAGATGCAGTGCTCCTTAGAAGCCATAAGGGGGCGCCTGAACCTCACAGCTACTGCAGTGTCTCTTTTCCCATGGAAGTTTTATTTTAAATCGTATTTTTTCTGAGATTTTGGGGGGGTCTCAGTAGGGCTTGTTCTTCTGAAAACCCCACTCAGCCATCTTGGCTTGTTGTGTGTGTGTTGTGGGGGGGGGGTCTGTCCCATGAGAGGGTGACTGGTGTGCTGGCGTGCCAATCTTTTTAGAAGCCAAGCCAAACCTGGTTTGTCTTGCGGGAAAGCAAACTTTATCAACTTAAACTGATGTTTCTCACATTCAGCAGCTTTAAGGTGGGTGGACTTCAACTCCTAGAATCCCCCAACCAGCATTTTAGGCACCACGCGAAGTAACCACAGTGCTAAAAAAGTGACTTTGTTCACACTTCACGATGGTCGCAGCATCCCTGTGGTCAAAATTTGGGCGCTTGGCAACTGGCACGGACTTATGATGGTTACAGTGTCCCAGTGGCTCCCCCTCAGCCCCCCACCTTTCCCTCTGCCCCTCCCCTTTCAAAGAAGCTCCTCCCTTTCAGCTCCCCACCTTCCCCCGTCCCTCCCTCGTACCCCTCAAAAGGAACCCCAATACTGGTCACCTTCACACGACCCAAATTCATCTTCCCCCTCAGTCCCGCTCAAAGAAACCCCCAACTCAGTCCCCCCATCTTCCCCTCCCCTTCAATGAAGCCCCTCCCCTCCAGCCCCCCACCTGCCCCTCCCTTTTAATGAAGCCCCTCCCCTTCAAACAAAATCCCTCCCCTTCAGCCTCCCACCTTCCCCTCCCCTTTCAATGAAGGCCCTCCCCTTCAGCCCCCCATCTTCCCCTCCCTTTCAATGAAGCCCCTCCCCTTCAGCCCTCCCACTTTCCCCATCCCTTTCAAAGAAGTCCCTCCCCCTCAGCCTGCCCCCCTTTCCATCCCCTTTCAAAGAAGCCCCTC